CCTAGAGGGAGAAAGCACGATATTTAGCTTGACTGGAAGGAAACACACAAGAGTCCTTTCCGTTTGCTCCTTTTCATGCACACAGTGGCACAAACTCCCTAATCCGTGCAGGGTACGTACTGCCTCACGCCCTCTCTTAATTAGCCATGGGCACAGGCAGACCGTGGCCCTCTAATGATCATGAAGATGTCTGAAGGTAGGAAGGATGTGTCATATACTTCTCCTGTGTCTCTTACAGATCTAAACTACGGCCTTTTATTTTTATGAATTATTAGGCCTCCCCGGCACTGAGAACTGGGACCCGCATGAGGTTCCACAGCTGCTGAGGGGGCCAGGACCTCTGCCCGTACTCAGCAAGCACTTCCCCAGTGAAGGACACAGACAAGCAACGCTCTCCTCCGCACTCAGGAAGCAGCGCGCCGCTGAGAACGGACGTGTACTGTACCAGCTTGCAGGGGCTGCTGCAACCAAGTGCCACAAACCACTGGGCTTCCACAACAGGCATTTATTGACTCAGTCCTGGAGGTAACCAGCCCAAGACTGAGCTCTGTGCAGGAGGAAATCTGTTGCATGCTTCTTTCTACCTTCCGGAGGCTTCTGGCAATCTCCGACATTCCTTGTCTCGTAGAGACATTGCCTCAATCTCTGCCTTCATCTTCAGACGGCTCCCCCGGTGTGCATAGCTCTGTGTCCAAATTTCCCGTGTCTCTAAGGACACCAGTCCTAGCGGTGAAGGTCCGTTCCATTCCAATCTCATTTCAACTCATTGTGTCTACAATGCCTCTATTTCCAAATCAAGCCACATTTGGGGCTATTCAAGATGAGGATTTCTGCATATGAATTTGAAGGAGAAACATCATTCAACCCATAACACAAACGACTTCAGACAACATGGCCAATGCAGTCATAAGGGCATATAGGAGAAGCTATGCGAATACACTAGACCACATGGCACTGAGTTTAAGGGACATGAGCAGGAGCACCCGAGAAAATGGGACAAGTGGTCAAAGCTTGGGTAGACAATGGTTCACCAGTGAGCCAAGGGAAAGAGCTTTCATTAAAGGCATGTCTGTGCCTGGGGAACTTCAAAAAGTGCTGTGGACCTAAGACTGGGAGAGACGTAAGAAGGACAGGGGAGATGAGGATGGACAGGGAGGGAGAGCAGACCTCCAAGAGCCGTGGACTTAATCCAGAGGCAGTGAGGAGGAGCCTTGGGGGATTTTCAGGAGACTCTTCCGGTTGCATCTGCATGCTGGGAAGCTCATTCTGGCAAGAATTTGGGTGGGCACTGAAAGGGGGCAAGATTGGGAGCAGTGAGACCACTTCACAGTCTGCAAGTCTAAGCAAGATAGTATAAGGTTCTGGACAAATTCATGGGCAGGATAAATGGAGAGGGGGCAAGGGATGGATTTCCACTGGGAGGCGTGAAACAGAACGAGTCCCTACAAAGAGCAGTCTAGGAAAACATCAGTGTGAATTGAGGGGATGAAGATGACGCTGATGGGAAAGCCAGGTGCCAGGAAGAACAAAAGGAGGAGGCTCATTTCCCGGAGGGGGAGCGAGAGACTTGAAGCAAACACTGAGACAGTGAGATCTGCCTGGCCAGTCCTACTGTGGGATGTCTTCCTCCTATTCCAACTTCATTCTCTCAACATCTGACATATGCGGTTTTGCCCTTGACCTTTGTGGGACAGGAAACATAATCTCCAAGCAAGTTAGAGAAATGGGGGCCAGACAACAGTCTACTAAGGGAGCATGACCCTATGAGTTGGGGAGAGTTGAAGTTGTAGGACTTGTGACAGCTTCATAATAATGACTTTGCTAACTCAGAAAAATGCACACAGTGTTGTCCCATGGTCATTATAGACAACGCCTGCCTCCTTCATTCACTGGCCATGACACATCAGAAGGAGCAAAGATTCTCGGAAACTGGAAATTTAATTCTAGATCAATGAAAGAAGGTTCCAGAATCCCTCCCAATGCCTCCCGCCACGTGCAAGTGAGCGGATTGGTGGAGAACAGATCATCTTGGAGTTTCTCCCTTGGACTGGGCATTCAGACTACAATGCTATCTCCTGTTTCTATCTTCCTTTTCTATACTTTTCTATTTTTGCTTTACCCATGAAAAGTCTCTAACCTAGTGTACTAGGCAGCTTTCCGTTACTATAACAAGTAAACTTGAGGAAGCCTAATTTTATAAAGGACAGGGGTTTATTGTTGGCTCACGGTTCTGGAAGTTTAAGGTCAAGGAGCCTCATCTGGTGGGGGCCTTCCTGCTGACAGCTGGAAGTGGCACAGAGCATCCCACAGCAGGACACAGCACACTCGTATGGCTGTGTCTAAGTATACGTAGTCTCTTGTGAAGCCCCTAGTATTCAATCATTGCACCCTGCTCTAACGACCTCATCCAGTCTGATCACTTCACAAAGACCCCACCTTTTTGTTTTGTTTTGTTTCTGGAACTATTTTTATCCCCCTTTTTTATTGTTTCAACCAAATTTTATTTACAGAATATAAATCTCTTCAAAAAGATACATTCCTTAATTTAATTAATGGTAAAAAAGCCTTTTTAAACAGGAAAAAAAAGCCTAAACATCATCACTTATATTTATACAGAAATACAGGTCATTAAAAGTGTAGGAACATAGGACATAAAATGTGATTTTTACTTAAGCAGTTACATGAATAAGGCTTTTTTAAAAAATTTTTTTTTTCAATTTTTTTAATTAGTAAATATAAATTCCCAAAGTACAATTTATGGAATACAATGGCTTCCCCCCCCAAGACCCCACCTTTGAACACCACGATGCCACTGAGCCTCTACCCTCTTTGCACTGATTCACTTAGGACTTTGGGATTGAAAGTCCTGCCTGGGTCTGAGGGCCAAATCACATTCAAACCAGAGCACCTGGTGGAATAGGCACTCAAGGAATAGGCACAATGGTAGCAAACACCTGTGTCACCACTTAGCATAAGTGCTTTGTAGACCTCAATTCATTTAAGCTGCATAATAACTGTGGAGGCGGGGATGGGTCCTATGACTGTCTCAACTTACAGATGAGTGGATGGCTGAGGCCACAAGACGTCTTCCCCCAAAATGCAGGCCAAGAATTCTGGACTGAATCCTGAGTCAAGGGTGACTCCAGGGGCCAGCGTTGTTGCATAGCAGGATAAGCCACTGCCTGCAATGTCTGCGTCCGATACGGGCATTGGTTGCAGTCCCAGCTGCCCCACTTCCTATCCAGCTCCCTGCTAATGCACCTGGGAAAGCAGCCGAAGATGCCCAAGTGTTTGGGCCCCTGCCACCCACCTGAGAGACCCAAATGAAGCTCCTGGCTCCTGGCTTCAGCCTAGCCCAGCCCTGCCCATGGCAGCCATCTGGGGAGTGAACCAGGGAATGGAATCTCTCTCTGTGTCTCTCCTTCTCGCTCCGCGAAACTCTACCTTTTAAATAAACAAATAAATCTGGGGGCAGGGGGGTGACTCCTGCCAGGCAAGGGTGAAGGGTGATGGTTGAAGAGGAGGATTAACAGGGGAGGTTCTGCTGCCCACGCAGGCAGCTCCTGGACATCCAGCAGGGCGGGACCGCACCTCAGGCTAGGACCAGGTCACTAAACAGAGGAGCCAGGAGTTCCGGCGCCTGCCTCTCCCTCCAAGGAAATCAGGGTGGGAGGGGGAGTAGCAGTGACCTCACAGACTATGGGGAGAAAGCCCCGATGTGTCTTCCAGTGATTCATCTGGGTGGACTCCTTTCACACCAAGCTCAATTCAAAAGGTCGGAGTGGGGCCAGAGGGGCCCCTCCCTCCTTCAGCGCAAGAAGTGTTTCCTCCTTTTAAAGTACAGGCAGAGTTGGAATCGAGCCCCGTCCAAACAGGAAATGGCCAAGATTCTAGGTAAAACCGGTGCCTTCTTCTTTAAAGGTCAAGCTTTTCATTCACCAAGTCATTGTTTCCTGAGCGCCTACTATGTGCCAAGCACGTGGTTCGCGGTTGTTAGGGATCTCTGCGGGCGGGGGCAAAGAGAAAGGATGAGCGCGAGCGCACACACACACACACACACACACATCTGGCAAAGCCCACAAGAGAAAGCTTTTAGGGAATGGTGATGGCTTTCTTCTAAAAAATAAAAATGGAAATGAACGTTCCAGCCTCCTCTCCCAGGAGTCCCCCCAACGGGCCTGGACTGAGTCCCGAGCCGGGAAAGTGAGAGGCCTGGGCGCAGCGAGGAGGCCTGGAGAGGCGGGCTGGGTGACAAGGTGGAAGGGCAGAGCGGCAGCGGGCCCGGGACTCGGCTGGAGAGCTGCGCCAGAGGCAGGTGCCAGCTGCGAGTGGGCGGAGGTGCGGGCGCCAGGCCAGCGGGGGGAGGCCCCGCGTTACCTCTGCCTCCAGGAGGCCCGGCGCGCGCTCCAGCTCGCCGGGAGGCGCCCCCGCCTCGCCAACTCCCAGCTTGCGCCGTCCGTGCCAGCCTGGGGCACGGGCGTCCCCGCCGCCCGCAGAAGGAGCCGCGGGCGCAGTCGCTGCAGCGCCGAGCGGCAGCATCCTCAGGAGAGACGCCCCAGGCTCCGCAGCCGCCTGCCTGCTCCCGGGGCCGAGCGAGCGCCGCCGCCCGCTCTCTGCGCTCCTCCTCGCCGTCGCCCGTGCCCCCGCTGCGCCGCCACCCCGGCGGCGGCCTGCACCTGCGCCCCGGGCCCTTCACCTGCGGCAGGCACCCGGCCAGGCGGGAGAGAAAAGGCGCGAGACACCGGGAGACCCGGTCCCCTCGCCTCCACTAAGCACGGAGAAGCGAGCGACGCCCGCCAGCACCCGGTCCCCAAGTTCAGGGGTGACAGCTCTCAAAGGAGGGCTGTCCCGCGAGGTGAGCATTCCGGTCCCGTGGACCCCGGCCGGCCCGCGGGACTCCAGGCGCCTCTAGTGCCTGCGCCCCGGGCGCCCTCCGGGTCCTCGGAGACCGCCCGCTCGCCCCCCGCACCCCGGCGCCCACCTCGGCCCGCGCCCGGGCGGGGCCATGCCGGGGCTGCGCCGGGACCGCCTGCTGACCCTGCTGCTGCTGGGCGCGCTGCTCTCGGCCGACCTCTACTTCCACCTCTGGCCTCAAGTGCAGCGCCAGCTGCGATCCCGATTTCGCCCGCCTGGCTGCCCGTGCGCCGGCCGCGCCTCTTCCCAGCCCGGGGATTCGGCCGCAGCCTCCTCGGACCCCGGTGCGGGCGCGCACAACTTTTCCCAAGCCGGGCGCGGGGCTGAGCCGGAGGGCGGCGGCCGCGGCGTCTCCAAGCTGCAGGCCCTCTTCGCCCACCCGCTGTACAACGTCCCGGAGGAGCCTCCTCTCCTGGGTCCGGAAGACGCTCTCTTGGCCAGCCAGGAGGCGCTGCGGTATTACCGGAGGAAGGTGGCCCGCTGGAACAGGTGAGGACCCCGCCGGGGAGACCCGGGTGCGCGCGCTCCCGGTGCCTGCTCTGCGCCGCCCCCGACTCTGGCCTGAGTCTGCTGCCCGCACACCTGAAGCTTGGCTGCGGGATGACAGGGTGTTCCCCAGCCAGCCCCCCACCAGCCGTGGCAGACCCCAGAGGGCAGCGGGCGAGTAAGACCTCAGCGGGAGAAAAAGTTTCCAGCGGCAGTACAGCGAGGAAATGCGCCGAGCCCCTCCCCCTGAGCGCCTCTGTGCTCGGCTGAGCCCCACTCGCGTTCCCCGGCCCGGTCCCGCCCGCCCTTCCCGCTGTCCCGATGCGGAAAGCCGCTGCTGGACTTCGGTTTTTCCAGTTTCCAAACAGAACAGTTGCAGCGCTGCCTCGGAGGCAGCCTCACCTCTGCTGCTGGAACAAACCTGGGCGCTTTCCAGAAAGCCTGCCACTCTCCGCTCCCCGCAATCCCAGACCTGACCCGTTCTTGATCCCGCTGCCCGGTGTCAGAGATCCCAAGAGGTCAGCGGGGGGCAGGAAGCCAGCAGTCGGCTCTCAGACTCCCCGCTTCCCTCCCCGCTCCTATTTGCAGCGTGGTTGTCCCTCTCTGACGAGTGCAGCAAGTTGAAGTCACTTTCAGTATCTTGTTATCCTGATGATTTGGGTTGACATGGACCTGGTTTGGTGTTTTCGCGGAGAAGGTTTAAAAGAAAAAAAAGTCAGCTTGGGAATTTTTAAAAACCCGGAGGCAAATACCGTAGAGGGTGGAGGAAAAACGTATTGAACATACTTAGGATGAAATTAAAAAGGATGGTTTTGTAAAAGGGTTGGCCTGGGGCAGGGGGTGTGGGCTGAGATCCTCATGCCCATGGCTGGAAGCCTTCACAGGGATTCCTCTATTTGAAAGCATAAAACTCCTCTAAATATTGCTCCCCACCCCAAGTTCACTTTCACACCACACCCATCTCTCTGCTTAATACGAGAGATTTCAAAATGAGATGTCTGGTGGTTTTATGGTCCCTCTGGAAGAAAAGCAGACCATAAATCTCGGCTGGAACTCAGAGCTCACCCAATTTAACTGTTTGCTCATTATTCTCTACTGCTGAGAGTGGAGGGAAGGGGGAAAAAAAGCTCTAGAAAATAAAAAGAGGAGGAAGTTCAGAATTACTGGCTGAAATCAAAGTGGCGATTTTCAATTGCAACTCGATGGCTGGTGATTTTATTTGAGAAAGAAAGCGGTTCTCAATTTCATTGCTAATTGTGTGCAATAGAAGGCAGTTCCAGTCTGCTTCTCAGACACTGTCATTTTCAACCGCATTTTTATTTCATCAGCGACGTGGGCGTCAGGGTCAGTGAGCTAGAAGATTTTGCCCTTGGAACAATTATCTACCTATCTATTGTGGACTTGAGCATGAGAGACTGTGGGAAAAGTCATCTGCTTTTGCCAGTGTTGATCGATGTCCACTTAGTCACATTTCTGTGGCCTTAAACTTCCCTATGTCACTTTGATCCTGGAGGAAAGTCCAGGACAGTATTTTGGCAGAAAAGCAAAAAAAAAAAAATTTCTCTCCAAGCTCTCGTACAATCAATTTTAAGCTTGATTTCTACACCATTATCTGTCCAAAAAAAAAGCACAAACACAGACACTAGCCAGAAATGATCTTGGCCATTTAACAGAGGGTCAGGGGGGGCTGGTGACATTGCTGTCCTCAGAGGTCACAGAGTGGTTCTGTGTGATTGGTTGACCGTGAGTTTCCCAAGCGAGGTTTGTGGGCTGTAGCACGAGGGCCAGCTGCACTTACAAACACTGGACCTGGACCCCAGGAGCTAAGAACAGCCCATCTCCACTCTCACTAGGTTGCAAATGGCAACCCCAGGCCGCTAAGAGGCAGAGGTGTTCTTACTTACATCAGAGTGAAAAGTGGAACTCGGGAAGTCATTAGCCAGCGTGATTGTGAATCACACTCAGAGTTGTCGTGGTGTGAGAGGTAGTCACTCATTATGAGTGCCCTGATGATTACACCGACACGTGGAAGTGCTGGTGAAACCCAGGTGCCCGCTACGACGGGCAGGGCCAAGGAAGGCCCCCAGCGGCGGTGCAGACAGATCGTTAGAATGGACATCGCATAATCAGAAGCAAAGAATACCCTGGCTAATTGTGTTTCTCTTGCACAGACAAGCCCTCCTTGCTGGTAGCCACAGCTCTGCCAGTATTTAAAATCTAGTGATTTATGAGCATATGTGGAAGCTTCCATGCCAGTAATTACCTACCATTAACCGCCATGCGAACCGAGAGCATCAGGAAGCTGTCTGATGCTCCAGGAGAGGTGCAGGTTGTAAAATCAGCCAAATCCACATTCTTCGTCACTCACTTGCCCGGAAGAGACCATTGGCCTGAGTGATTTCTTTAATATTCTTTTATTTTTACCACCACACTAAGAAGTAGCGATATGAAAAGTGTCTTTCTACGAACTCACTCATTACCCTAAGAGGAAGTAGGTAATGGCTGGGCAAATTCCTTTTTGATTTCACACTGTGGAAGAGGGAGCTTGTCCACTGTTTTGAATGTTTCCAGCTTTCAACCAATATTTGTTAATTGGACGCCAATGTTGAGTTAAGCCGAACCTTGGAAGCCACGTGGTGTGTAGGGTGGGCCATCTGGGTGCTACCTAACCCTCACGCTTCCAGCAAACCTTCTTAGCCAGCTGTCCTTGCCTCCCTTCCTCTCTTTTCCCCCTCACAATGTGACCAAGGGGGCACAGTCCACGTTTAAAATGTAATCAGGGAAAATGTTCCTGTCAGGTAGTCAGCCGCTGATCACCGCGAGCCGGCCCACGCCTAGCTCCATCAGGCGCAATGGCACAGTTGGCACCTGTCTTGAATAGCAAAGAGGGAGGAGCACAGGAAACACCGTCTCACTCTTCCAGGCCATGCACTAACAAGGCACAGCCGCGCTGCTCCTGGTCTTTGCCTTAACGAGCGGTGGGGGCAGGCTTACCTGGAGCACAGGTGACGCCTCACGTCAGCGCCATGCTTACGTTCGGAGAAGCTGAGCTGCGATTTCATCCCTGGCCCGCCAGACAGCATCTGTCCTTCGACATGTCACAACGAGTCGGTTTGGCCTGGCCTTCTGCCCGGCTCTCTTTGGTCGGTTCCTCTGTAGCAGACAAGGTCAAACAAGGTCAGGCCTTCCCAGTGCAGAAACTCCAGCAGCTGCACCACAACTGCTTCTCGTTCGTGACATCTTTGTCCGTTCTCAGGAAGATTATATTGTGCTACAATTACAGATTCAGCTCTTGGGGGCGGGGGAAGAGAGAGAGAGAGGAGAGAGAGAGAGAGAGAGAGAGAGAGAATTGCTCCCCATTGCACGCTCCTGTCTGCCCCTCTCCTCCTACCTATTTGCTGTCACTGAAAGCAAGCCTAGCCCTGAGTCTCTCTTTGAAAATCACAGCTCAGAAGCCGGGCAGCTTTTTCAACACATGACAGCCGTTCAAGGGGAGTAAACTGGCTGCAGTTTTCCTGGGGGTGCTTGGAGAAGATCCAGAAGCCAGGCAGTTAGAGGAGAGGGGAGAGGAAGGTCCAGGAGAGATGACAAGGAATTCAGCTGGAAGGTGGAGGTGTCTAGTCTAGGAGTTCTAGAAAGAAAAGCTGCTCCTGGCCCTGTGCCATCTATGGAGTGAACGATGCCATCGCTTCACTATCTCTTCTGTCCTTGCCTCCATCTTTTTACGTCTTTCCTACTCATCTCATGCCTGCCCCTGATCATTTAGAACATAGGTTTTTTTTTTTTTTAAGATTTATTTATTTGTTTGAAAGGCAGAGTTAGAGAGAGGAGAGTCAGAGAAGAGAGAAAGAGATCTTCCATCCTACGGTCCACCCCCCAAGTGGCCACAATGGCCAGGGGCTGTGCCAGGTTGAATCCAGGAACTCCGTCTGGTCTCCCGTGTGTGTGGCAGGGACCCAAGCACTGGGCCATCTTCCACTGCTTTCTTAGGTACGTTAGCATGAATCAGAAGTGGAGCAGCCAAAACTTGAACCAGTGTTCATATAGGCACTGGGTTAACCCTCTGTGCCACAACGCCATTCCCAGCATGTAGGTTTCTTGTGAGCAGTTCAGCCACAGATTCCCACTTGTGGCTAGTGGGCTCGTGCCTTTCTCCCAGGGCTGACATGACCTTGGCTCCTTGTCTGGTTCTTCTGCCGACAATGCCAGGTCAGAAAGAGAGAAAACGGCTTCTGCTGTGGGGAGATGGGTCTCAGCATGGCCTGTGTGTGGCTACCAGAGGGACTGGGGAACCTGACTTCTGTCTCCCATTCCCATTCTTCCCAACGATAGTCTTGTTTGGCTGCTTTTAAAAGTGCTATTATTTTAGTAATTGCTGACTCCTTGGACTTACAGCTAAAGGAACCCTTTCCTCTTCTCAGAATCAGCAGCGCCAAGCAGAGAATTTCTGAGAAGGCCACTCCTAGAAGGTCATTTTCAGGTTCCTGCTCCCTCATGCTAAAGCCGGGTCCTCATTGCCATAACCCCAGGAAAGAGCTAAATCAGAGAGAATGTCAGTAGTGTTCATCCAGTGAGGAGAGGCAGCTCCTGCTTCCAGGTGGTTCCGTTGTTTCCAGCCTCACCCAATCTCCTTTCACCCGAACCAAGTACTCATCAATGCCAGGAGCACAAACGGCTAATTTTCTGCATGCAGATCCTCCTACCTGCAACACAGTTGTTATGTGCCAGAGAGTTCACCTACACTTATTCATTTAAGCCTCACAACCTCTACAGAAACAGGTGTGTATAGTAAGCAGAATTCCAGGAGGGCCTCCCAAGACATCCACTCCTAGCACACACACGTCTCTCCTAGCTGGTCAATCAAATGGCAACATGGACTCTACCAGAAATGAGCTTTTCAGGTGTAATTGAAATTCCACAGTAGTGGCTCCTGAGATAGGCAGGTTGTCCAGTGACTTAATCACTGGACTTAATCACACGAGCTCTGAAAGCAGCGAATTTTCCTGGCTGATGAAAGGAGGAATCAGAGATTCAAAATACAGTCAAGGTGTGGTGGCCCACGGCTGGCTGACTTGAAGGTGGAAGGGGCAGTGTGGCGAGGGATTGGCCCCAGCTGACAGCCAGTCCGGAAGCAGCTACCTCAGTGATATAATCACAAAGAACCAAATTCTGCCACTGGCAAGGATGAGCTTGGAAGCACATGGTGCCCCAGAGCCTGCAGATGAGCGCTTGTCCCAGCCAGCACCTTCAATGCCGCCTTCCACGGTCCTGGGCAGAGAGCGCAGCCATACCAGGCTGCAGCCAAGAGCTGGTCAATGGGCGTTACTTTAAACTACTGGATTAGTGGTCATTTGTTGCACTGCAATGGAAAGTGAGTACGGCACTGATGCTTACTTTGTTTGACAGAGGGAACTAAGCAAGAGACCCTTATGTGCACTCTGGCCTCTCCTTGACTGTGTCCATTGTCTTGCTATGTGCCATGCGCCATGCTTTTTGTCATTGTCCGCTGTGTCCAGCCGTAACGTCATAGCAGCTGTCTGGAGTTTCCTGTGAGAGAGCATGGCCATCTGACCTTGGCATGAGCAGCCCCCAGCTTACACGTGGCCACCTTACCACATGTGTTTCATGCCCTGCCATAAGGTAGAACCAGAGTAAATACCTCTGGACCCCATATTTGGGAACAGATGACAGTGAGATTGGGGGACTGTCAGACACTGGCCATCACCTCCTATGAAAAGCCTCGAACAAAAGCATTCTCGACTTTAAAATCACCCCACCTCTAACTTCTCCACTCCCGCCTATAAAAGTCCAGCGCAAAATCCCCCTGCTGAGACGATCTGAAACTTGGATCTGGGATGCTCTTCTTATTGCAGTAGTCCCCCACCCCCTGCAAAAAAAAAAAAAAAAAAAGGCCAGGAAGGAAAGTTGAGAAAGTGTCATTTGCCAAGAAGAGGAATTTCTTCAGCTTCCTGTGCTTTCCGAGGAAGAGCAGCCAAGAAATCCAGTGTTAAAGAAAAAAGGAAACCCAGAGACCCTGGCTTAGCCAAAGCAGTTCCCGCTCTGCCCCTTGGCAGGTGCTGACCTGCATTTTTCCTTTGATTATTCATTAAGCTGGAGGCTGATAAGAGCCCCTGGATGTCGCTGAAGTAGGTTTGTGTATGCGTATGGCTGAAAGCCCAGTGGGGACACCAGCCTCAACAGCCGTGGCTTTAGCAGAGTAGAAGTTACTAGGCATAAGTTATGCCTGCTTTTATAGGCAGCGACATACATATGTGCCTAATGAAAACCACAGGATGGAAAAAAAGGCTTAGCTCTTTTTCTGCCCTGTCACTTGGCAGAACGTCCCACGGCTGAAACATGGAATCAGGACAGAACGGAGTTTGAGTGCTTCGGAGATGCCAGCAACCAGGACTTTCCATCCCCGGAGGCTGGCTCTGGAGGCCAAGCACGAGGGGCAGCCAGGAGAGTTTGGCTTGAGCAAAAGGCAAAGTGAAGTCCCAGAAAAGGGCCGGTTTAATTGGATTCACTAGTAATAAGCCAGGTAATAAA